ACAGAGTGAGTTGTTATTAGTAGCTGGTTATTAGTAGTATTATTATGTGTCAATAACAGTGCTTGACTTTATTAGCTATGTATGACTGATACTAACGTGCGGTCAACTAAAGCTTTAACTTTTTTTTCACATACATAAATAGTAAATCAGGACGCCTCCTATTTGTACTGCTTTATTTTTGTTTTAACCTAAACACCAGATTCAGATTTATCCTGCTAACATTTTGTCTTGCAGATTTCAAATTAGCATTCAAAGCTGTTGGATGGTTCCGAAGTTTGATTTATCATCTCTAATGTTAGTTATGCTCCCCACCTGTTACCTACAAACTCGATCAGCTTCCCCACGCTTGCACCTGACTCAGGAATTTAAACACAATGCCACAACAAGAGATTGAGTAGGACAGGGACTAGCATGGCACTAGGGACTTCCTTCCTGGCTGACAGCACTGCTAACCTACTTTCTTTTGGTATGAAGACAAGCTCTGTATCCACTTAACGAATGCTTCCTCTTAGGAGACCATAACATGTTTTCACCAAAATAACAATTCACTACATCTGCAATTCCTCTTGAATTTACTAAATGTATAACCCTAGTAAATGACATGAGGAGACCATAATTTTTTCTTAATGAACCAGTGTTGGTTTCCAGTGATCACTGAATTCAAGTTTAAACGCCTAGAACTCATTGGTTTCGTAGTCTCTCCACATGTTTGGCAGGGATCACACTCCTGTTCTCTAATATCCGTGCTCTGCCCTCTAGCCCGTACACCATTTGTTTGGGCTTTTCTTAAAGCTTAACAACAGTGCTGCTGTGATTTGATCTTCAGTTGCCTACTCAGGGATGTGATTCTGTCCGGGCTGCTTCCTCAAAGTCCTGTCTCCTTACTCTTTAACAAGCACTCATCTTCCTCTCTGTGTACCCTGCACACTCTACCCAGCTCAGAAGCAGGGAGCTATCAACCACTGTAAAGTCTGTAGTGATCTAAGCCCAGCAAAACCTGAGTATTACCATTTATCAGATGCAGAAATACAGAATCAACAGGAAGTCTTTTCTTTTTTTGAGACAGAGTCTCACTTTGTCACCCTTGGTAGAGTGCTATGGCGTCATAGCCTATAGCAACCTCAAACTCTTGGGCTCAAGTGATTCTCTTGCCTTAGCCTCCCAAGTACCTGGGACTACAGGTGCCTGCCACAACACCCAGCTATTTTTAAAGGTGGGGTCTCACTCTGGCTCAGGTTGGTCTCAAACCTGTGAGCTCAGGCAATCCACCTGCCTCTGACTCCCAAGTCTTGGGATTATAGATGTGAGCCACCACACCAGGCCTCAATTGGAACTTTTCTAAGGATAGATTCCCAAGCCTGTCTTTGCCAACTTAGATCATGTAGTTGGCCACCTGGCCCACCTAGATTGTCTCATGCAGGTGATTTTTAATCAATCAGCACCTTCTGAGAACTGGCCCACAAAATCCTCAAGAACCCACTGTCTCTCTGCCTTATCCTGGATGTGGGAAGCCCACCCCTGAACCCACACTAAAGGCTCCAGGCCCTTCATCCAAGCATGCAACAGCATACCCAACAACACACCTCCTCTTCCCAGCCTGCCTTCCAGCTAGGCTCTTTCTACCCAAACCCAAAATCTCTTTACATTCCACCATGCTCCAGTCTCATAGGAGTAACATAAACCAGTGCCCTGGAGACCAAATACGTTCTCAAATTTACCAGACCTGCCACGTCTCAACGAGCTAGAGAGGTATTGTGTTGGCAAACATGTTATATGTCTCCTTCAGCCTTTGCATCAGTTTGAAGGGGTGGTCTGGAAGGCAGGGGTTGTCAGCCTCTCTGAAGCTCCTGTGCCCTGCTGCAGGGAAGAAAGATGGGGGCTCTCTCAGGCATTGGTGAAAGAGCTAGGGAGCGACTGTAGGCTTTCTGTCACTACTGGGGCAGGAAATCCCCAGATTCCCAGGTTGCCGTCCACCTCCAACAGAAGTACATGCATGTGGGTGGTCTGGGTATAGTGCTGTGCACACATTCAGATCAGACATTCTCAACCTTCCTGCTTTCTATAGAGGGACCCAGAGGAAAGACCCACAAACCACAAACTAGGACATCTGGGATTAGTCCTGGAGTGTTCTTCATGATCAGGCTTTGGGAAGAGCATGGACTCTGCAGCCAGACTTAGAGGGTGTGCGGTTTACCTCTGCTACCTATGGGCATGTGAGCTAACCTTCCTAGATTAGTGCCTATCTCCTGCAGTGGTTGTAAAGGGTAGGTGAGTTTAGGCGAGCCACTAGAAGAAAGCTCCCAAGGCAGAGCACAGAGTAGCTCCCTAACCCGTCACTCCTGTCCCTCTCCCCTCTTTGGCCAGGCCCTCCTTCTACCAGAACCTTCAGTTGCCTCTTTTGTTATATGTGCTGAGCCTTCCTCCCACTCTACAGTACTTTGACCATGATTCTCCAACAGTAATAGCTTTAGTCAGGGAGATGGATGTTCGCAAGAGAAAATGTACAAGTGTAGTTTGGTCCATGAGACTGGAAGTTTAGAGAACCTAGATGCAGAGGAGCCAGGCATCAGGGATCAGATAAAAAGAGAATAGCTATGAAAGGAGGGAAAAGACACTTATAAAAGGGGAACCAAATTAAAAGGAGGACAAACTTCTAAGGCAGCCAAGGGAGTAAAGTCAGGCCCACAAAGAACTCCATCCATCCAAGTCCCCAGGGAGGAAGTGTGCAGCTTGTCACACTTGCCTTCAGCTGTCTTCTCTGGTCATGGCAAGGCCACTGTCACTGCAGAATGCAGACTGGTTTTTCTATGGACCCTGGGAACCAGGAAAGCCTTTTTCTTTGTTGGTCTGAAAGGTGACAGAGTCCTCTAAAATGTGGCTGTGGACATTTTGGAGGCTTACTTTTGTGCACATGGATACCACATGGTGGACTAGCAGATCCACAGCTCAACCAGATCTCAGGTTGAGCCTAAGTATCCAAAAGGACCCTGAGTTCTATACCACTTAATGGTTGGGGACCCTCTGTAGTCTACCTGAGGCATGGAACCAAGGCTTACCTTGCTTGACTCTAGAACAGGGGCTCCCCCCTAAGGCAACCGAATGCAGATTTGGGTTTCTCTATACTTCAAAATGGGATTCCTTCTGTTGAACCCAATTTTGCATCCCTGTGGTCGGTCCTAATTCTGCTTTCCCACTGGCATGGCTATCTCTAAATGTTTCATCCAAAGGCTTACAGGATCCCAGATCTGACCAGGACCTTACCGTAGCTTATCATGACAAGGAGTCAGCCCAGAGCAAGAGGCAGGGGGCAATGTCAGAACGTGAGGCAGAGTGGGAAACAGGGAGATGAAGAAAGCCCAAGAGGTGATTCCAAGGAACCCTGGGGGAAGCATCATCTCTTGAGAATCATGAGTACAACCAAAGTCTCTACTTTTCGGTGGGGAAACTAAGCCCGCTGCCTGGAAGGACTAATGTATAGGTTAACAAAAGTAAAAGTATCTATAGATTATGGTGCAAGGTAGTCAGACCAGAGGAAAGGCGAGAGAACACAGTAGTGTAGATTCCTGTGAAATCAGTGACAATGGAGGCCCAGGGTGGCCTGGAGGGGGATAAAAGGGGGAGTAAACAGGAATGTAAGTGTAACAGGAGCTGTGTACTTGACTTTAGAAAAGGCTGCCACTTGGGCTGTTGATGGTGGGGGCTGCTGATGGTAGGCGTTGCCCTAGATGACGGCTATGCTCTGAGCCAGTGCTGAGCCCCCCACCCCACAGATCCTTCCAGCAGTGATGCCCTATGCAGCAGCCCAGTGCCAACAGCTTGGTTCCCAACCCACCCTCGGCAGGGTCTTGACCTTGGATTCAAAGCCATATCTATAGAGCACCCTTTGTACAGCACCGGCCACGCTGGAACGTAAGCTCCCTAATGCTAGAGCTGCTGTTCTAAACATCCTGGCATCATTTTCCCAGCTTAGGAGCCTGGAAGAAGGAGGAGTCTGATCCATGAGAACTTTCGCCTTGGAGTCCATGTTTGCTCTCAGAAGTTCCCTCCTGGGTAGGAATGCTTACTGTAGGGGTGTCTGTGAGGCCTGTTCCCCATACTCACTGCTGAGAGAAAAGGAAGAAAAGTGCTTACATTGCAACAGGGGGACTGAGGTGAGACGTGGCTTACAGAGGAAGCCTGTGGCTGAGCAGAGCACAAAGTGCTGAGATTTCTGAGAGTGTCCGTGGAATTCAAAGGAGTTATGTAGAAACAGAATGTGTCTGCGGTAAGCATCTGAGCATACAGCTTTCTGGAGGTAGGAAGGTGACCAAAGTGACCTAATAGGACCTTTTTCCAATCTAGCAATTTTGTAATTATAAAGATGAGAGAACAATTCTGACATAGAACTTTTTGTGGCACATTGGTAAAGAGATTCTTAGTTATAAAAATGTTTTATATACATAAGTATTTTAAAAAGAGAGGAATAGGGTAATGACTGAGAAAAACTTTTGAAGATACTGCTTAAAAGAAAACACTTGGGAGATATTCCAGCACTTTGGCCTCTTGGGCTCTGCTATCTTTTTAATTCCCTACATTCATGTTCCATGGCTTATCTGTGAATTTGGTTAACACATTCCCTAGCCGCTCAATTGGATAAGATAAGGCAGAAGATGTTAATAGAGAACCCTCCATCTTTTCCCCACTGAGTCTGATTTCAGAATTCATTGACTTGCTAAACTCAATCTTTTCCCTGCATTCGGTGTCCTATACAGCTTATCAATGCAGAAGATAATCTACCCACCAGGCATCCAGTGAGTGCCCACAATAGGCAGAAGGCAGAAGGAAGGGCAGCCTGTGCTCCCCCGGGACCTGCAGTGAGAATCTGCCCTCAGCACTGGGGCTGATCGGGCACTTGCCATTGGGGCCAGCTAGCTTGGCTATAAGGAGAGCTCTAAGCACTGGCCTACTTGATTCAGTGGGCCCACCAGGGGTCAGGAAGTGGGTGTCTACTTTCTACTCACCTCGGCCTGTGCTGTAATGCTGAAGCTTATCGCTGTACACGGCCTCCTTGCTATAAGCCCGTTTCCTGCAGATATAGAGAAGAGGGCTTTCTCAGCCAGGGTGCATATCCACCACTCTGCTCCAGGGACCTTCTGGGCCTTGTGTCCAGATGGAGGCTCACCAGGGCATCTCCCAGGCTTGACAACTGGGCAGCCCTCACTTTGAGGTTTTGATCCTGCTATGCTCAGCTTTCTGGTTGACCACTACTCACTTCTGTGGGTAGATGGGTCTGCTTCCAAGTCAAGGTCTTGCAAAAGCTTGTCAGGGCTGTGTCCTCCCCAAGTCAGAGGGCAGAGGTGAGGAAGCTGCCCACTGGTGCCTGAGGCACACTGCAGAATTGCTTGGGAGGGAGCCAATTATAGGGCTGTGCACTGCAGATTCTGGGTTAACCAGCAAAGGCAGTAGCAGCAGCGTTAAACATTCACAAGGCCTTCAGGGCCAGCTTTCCTGCAAAACTGGGAGCTGCTCTTTTCCTCCCTGCCCCCTCTCCTGATCCTCTGCCTCTTGCCAAGTGCTGAGGACCTGAGCTCTCTAACTGGAGGATGGGCTGTGCACAGGCCGTGATGCTCTACTGGGTCAAATGCAATTTTGTAACTGTCATTCTGAAAAGCCATTGTGTGTGAGGGGGGCTGAAAGTCTTGGCGAAAATGAGGTTTGAGGATGGATGCTGTTTACTGATAGCCTTGCCTAGCTCTCATAAGGATTTTATCCCAGGCATAGAAAATAAATAATCTGGAGAATTCTAGGCTGCCGGTGGTTTGAGGTGGAGTGATGATCGTGTCCGTGAATGGACAGATGCTGTCTGGTCCACCCAGCCTGGGAAGGGGCATCCTGGGTCTGAGGAAAGCAAGCAGGAGTGGAGAACTTACCTGCTACAGACGATGGAGATGGCCACCAAGGACACGACAAACACAACTCCAGCCGCTGCTGAGCCAGCAATCAGGGGCAGCTGCTCCCTCAGCTCTGACTTGTAATCATCTAGGTGAGAAAGAAGAATTAGAATGCTAACCACATGGCCCTTGCATACAGCTGGTACTTACTGTATGTATGAATACGTGTGTGTATATAGATATGAACAACTTCTATGCATCAGAGATGTATGCCCAACCAAATCCAAGACTAATATTTAAGTCACAAATAAGTGAAAACAACCCAAATGGACAATGACAGTAGAAATGAAACAGCAGTGATGGAGAGAGAATCTGAGAACTAAGGGCTGATGACATTTGTCTCAGAGCTGGAGCAGAGATGACTCCAATCTATATCCCCTCGTTTGGAAGATCTCTCAAAGGACTATAACCCATGCCAAGGATGATCCAGTGGAGGGGAATTATCCAGTCACTGCTGAAATATCTTCCGATGTATGAAGTTACTGAAATGCAGCATAGCCAACAGTTTCATGGAAGAGATATTTAAAGAGCGTCCGCAGTCAGCCAGCACCGCACCAGGTGCTGTGAAAGATGAAGAAATCCCTGAGAAATGGTCCAGCACTCTAAGCTCCCACTCAAGAAGAAAAGGATCAAGGCTTTCGCCAAGTGTTGAAACCATGCTATCCTGCACAGAGGCACGGAAAGCCCAGGGGTCATGGCCACAGGCAGAGCTTGTCCAAACCCAGGTGTTACCATGAGTAAGCTTTTCATGATCTCAGACAAAATCTCTCTGACCCTGTCTGTTTAAAAAATGATGTGAAGCACATTTCATGTTTCCCGACCTATTATGGGTGCCCCAAATATGAGTTCTCTTTTCTTTAATCCATATAAGCTACTTGGCCCATCTGGCTATCTGTTAAGATCATTACGGTGGCTATTCTTTTACTGGTGTTAAGGATCTAATGTGTAGGACCAAGGCATATGGAGCTGAAGCTATCTACGTTTTATTATAATTAGGGTTGTCAAATAGAGCAAATAAAAATACAAGGCCACCAGTTAACAATGAGTTTCTGATGAGCAACTAATGTTTTAGTATAAGTATGTTCTAAGATATTCCATAAGAGATACTCATACGAAAATATTATTTGTTGATTGTCTGAAATTCAGGTTTTATGGTTATCATATATTTTATCCATAATGCTAATAATGATACCCCTTATATAGAGAGTTTCTCCATGACCTGCATCAGAATACCTGAGCCTGACTGTTGAACATGACATTTCTGGGCCCTTCTTCAGGTCCGCTGAATCGGAACCTCTGTGTGAGGAGAAGGGTGTCTGCATGTTTAACAAATACTCTGGATCATTCTTATGCTTCTCCATGTTTGAGAAACATCCTTCAACTGTGTGGGCAGAGAAAGAGACTTCTAAACACAAGAGTGTTGGCCCTTAAAGCCACCCACCCTACAGAAATCAATTTTAAAGACTGGAGGTGGAGTTTCAGTTGCCCTCACCTGAAAGGTTTTTCTATCGTATGTTACAAGTGAACTTTTCTAGAACTAGAATATAAATGTTTTGACACAATGACTATGCAAATGACATGAAATTTATGTGAATCAGCTTGATGAAAGTATTTCAAAATGTATATGAAAACACTACACTGTACCCCATGTTTGCATTAATGTATACAGCTATCATTTAATAAAAAAAAAAATTAGAAAAAAAATTGCAAGGAACCACAGTGAAGAGTCCTCAATAATGTTTTTATAAATTAAAAACTTCATAAAGCATGAACAGTTTAAATATCTATAGGCAGCTAAGTCAAAGGTTAGCACACTGCAGCTAAGAGCAGCCCAGGACCATAGTGGGCCTGTGACATGTAGAGGTCACTAACCTGGAGTGTGGCCATCGACTCTGGGCAGGGTTCCACAGGGTCGCCCCAGCCCCAGTGACCCTGGCATTGATCAACCTTCAGGCTACCTTTGCTGTGCAGACAGGCCCGTAGCCTTAGTGAACATAATCACTACCAAGGGGTAAGCCTCAGTCATTGAGATAAATACTCCCAAATTTGGCCATTTACCAGAATTCTCTTATATCCAGCCCCTCTTGGGTTTGCAAAACTTAACTGCCAAATGTAAAAGAAATAGCCTTCTTGGGAGAAATTTGTTACTTCTTGATTTGTCTAGCAGAATTTTGAAGTGCTTAGAGTTTTGGACTTTTAAACCTGTGCACCTCCTGATGCCAAAGTGCTTATAAATCTAGATGGTAAGTGAGGTGCAGAGAGGGGGACAGAGTCCTTACGGGACAAGATGACAGTATGTAGTCTCTCCATTCTAGCAGCATTATTAATCTGAATGAACGGGCTCACCTTTCCACTCCAGCTCACCATCCTCAAAATACAAGAGAAAACTCATCTAAAATAAACTCAAGAATAGGTTACAAACTCCAATCCTGCAGGGGCCGGCACTCAGGTTTGATTCTTTGAGAGATGGAGGGCACTTCAGGAAGGCAGCTACCACTTAGCTAAGGCAGGGTCTTCACTGCAGAGCACCCCCCCAAATGTTGGCTTCTTTTACAGTTTTTTACAAGAAAATGAACATTTTGATTTGTACAAGAAACCATCTGATTTTTAAGTGTTTCTAACACACTTTAAAATTGTTAAAAAAAAAAAAAATACAATGTGAGTCATTACAAAACTTCAGGTCCTATCAAGTACCCAATCTGAGAGTGTTGGCCTAAAATAAAATGCTATGTTAAGGGCAGATTGTTTTCTATGTAAGTTAACTAATTAAGAAAAAATGAAAAGCTTTTAATTTGCAAAGTTAGGAATAGACTGACATTTGGAAAACTTACAGGAAAAAGTTTATAAGTGAATAATAATTATAGACAGGTAAGTAGACAGATACATAAACTATGGTAAATGGCTAAGTAGGGAGAGAGCGGGGGACACAGTCAGAAAGATACACCCACATGTGCTAAGGCTATAGGGAAATCACATTTTCAGAACTATGGAGTGGGTAGTCTCAGAGGACTGGCAGAGATAGTTATAATAGAGAACTAATAAAGCCCAAAGGTAGAAGTATTTTTGGTGACAGACTTTTGGCCCTGAAGACAGTTTGGTTGTTTTCTCTGGAAGCACTTGAGCAGGACCTCCTGGGGGTCCTATGTGAAGTTGCTTTAAATATTCTGAGATCTCAGGTGTACAAGATTATAACACCCCAAATTTTGTCTTTCTGTGTCCCTCCTGGAGACCTAGGCTGAGCAATGAGGCTGCAAGCTCAGCTTCTAGACCTCTAGCACAGAGGAGCAGAGCAGGAGCGAGGGTGAGATGCATCTGAACCAGGACAAAGATGCAAAAAGGCCCCGTGAGACAAGTGTGGGTCTCACTGCTGTGCAACCACAGTACCATACCTGGTGAGAGATTTTCCAAAGGTAAATCTAATCAGATGTTGGGAGAAAAATGAGCCAGACTTTAGAGAGATGCCCTAACTGGTGAATGGAACAAGTTTCCACAGTCCTACAAGGAAGCAAACCCTTCCAAAGGAATTCCACCAAAATCCAGTTGGAGGCTGGCATTTTGTCTGTGAGTACAGCATCTTCAGGGTTGTTCCCCACCTCCATCCCAAGGCCTGCCCTGTGCTCACGTGATTGCCCCCCTTACCATCCGTCAGAGTTTGGAAGCACATCTTGCCGCTGAACTTGCCATAGCCTGCCACAGTGCGGGCGCGCACCTGCACCACATACACCATGCCAGGCCGCAGCCCATCGATCCGTGCCGTGTTGGTCTGGCTCCTGGCCATGGAGGAGTTAAACTCATTGTGTTCCTAAAAAAAAGCAAAGGAGAAGGGTCACCAGCCTGATCCCAAGGGTCACCAGCCTGATCCCAAGGGCTGCACTTTCAGCCATTCTGCCCTGCAGTGCTCAGGCCCCATCAACCCTTGGCCCTACAGCTTTGCTAGACGTTGTCACCAGTATCAGGCCATCCCTCTGAATGGGGACAGGAATCCTAGACCACAGGGCTACAGAGCCAGCTCTGGACTATGATCCAGCCACTCTCTGAAGAAAGAAGTCTGAGGGAACGTGTGAGCTCTCAGGACCTGGCAAGGGGGCTCATCATCATTTTTTAACCCTTCACCCCCAGGTTCAGAGGTGGAGGAACACACACATGCAGCTTTGCAAAATTTTATAAAATCTCTGATCTCAGCAGAAGCAACTAGGCAATATCCACTTGCTCCCTGCCTGCCTCTCTTTGTCTCACTTCTGCTGAGCTGTCTGCTGGGTTTCCCCTCCTTTCTCAAGGTCTCTCTGGTTACTCCCTGCAATGGCTGTTCTAGGTTACTCCTTACGGTCCCTCAAGTACTTAGGCAAAAGCTTTGGGTCCACCTTTCTGAATAAGTTGAGGCCATTCTGGACTGCCTCCCACACCTGTGTCTGCCTTCTCCTTGGCCTGTGCCTGGGTGCCCATCCTCCAGCTCCTCCCCACCCACACCAGGGAGGGCATGCCCCTCTGCCTGGAGAGCGGGCCCTGTGTCCTCATGCCCCACCTACATGGGCTCAGCCCCACTCTCCAGTCTGTCACTCTATGCAGCACCTTGAGTGCTGACCTCCACGGCCCCTGTCCTCTGGTGTATACAGATTTGTGTGTTGTTGATCCTGACTCTCCTGCTTATCATAACCTCCCTTAAAGGGTGGCTTCCTCTTTTTGCTATTTATCTTTTTTTTTGAGACAAAGTCTCACTATATTGCCCTTGGTAGAGTGCCGTAATTTCACAGCTCTCAGCAACCTCAAACTCTTAGGCTTAAGCAATTCTCTTGCCTCAGCCTCCCAAGTAGCTGGGACTACAGGCACCCACCATGCCAAACTATTTTTTTGTTGTAATTGTTGTTGTTTGGCAGGCCTGGGCTGGGTTCGAACCTGCCAGCTCTGGTATATGTGGCTGGAGCCCTAGCCACTTGAGCCACAGGCACTGAGCCACTATTTATCTTATTAAACATGTGATTTGTGCATGGACCTGTGCAGCCTCTTATCTTTCCTGATGCTCCCAACCACTTCACCCCTGCCCAATGCCACAATTCTATTCTTAAAAGATCCCTAAAGCTATCCTAAATCTACGTTCCCGGGCCCTTCATAATGAAGCCAGTTCCAATCTCTCACATCCCCTAAGTCCAGGGGCCGCACCATGGCCAGCAGGCCTTTGCTCAGGCTATTTTCCCAGTCTAGAATGCCTCTCTGGGGCTCCTGTGCTCCCTCTGGGCTGCGTTAGCCTCTGTCCCCAAAGGCCTCCTCTCTGGAAGGCTTCCTCACTATTCTGGCCAATGGAAACTCTTCACTGCTGTCCTTCCAGATTACACTGCAGCCTTAGCATATTCTTACACCTCAGCCTGTTTCCTAGTTTCTTTCCTGTGAGCATGTCTTTTTTCTGTAAAGGTTCTGGGCTTTCTCCAAGTGTGTAGGAACAAAAGCTTAGAGTATGGGCCTGCCTTTGTCTGTACCATGAATCCTAAAGCAAACAGGGACCTCAGTGAAAATTAAGAGCTTAAGTCACTGAGTGGGAGTCCCTGCATATCTGGGGTACTGTTAGGAGTTCTACGCTCCATGGTTCTGGTGCCAGGGTGGGAAAAGAGAGGAAAGCTGCATGACAGAGATTTGTAAGCCACGCCCTTAGTCAAAAGATGGAGGAAACAGGAGTTGAGTTAGGTCAAATGACAATAGTTCAATGATAAGACATTCTCTTAAGATATGAAAAAGTCTGCTTTGCAAAGGCAAAGGTGACCTTTTGTGTATTCATCTACTCATTCATTGATTTGCCAGGCAGTTACATTGATGCACTACTGTAGCTGTGTGTTACACATGGACTGCAGGTACAAAGGCATGGTCCTTCTCTGGGAACGCAACATCTTCTGGGGTAGACCGGAAAATAGATGACTACAGTGTTGGCTGAGTCACTTGGCATAGGGCAACTTGGAGAATTGTGGGGGCACAGCCCAGATGTGGAAGGAGATGCGGAGGGTCTCAGGGAAAGGGCAACAGGAGCTGAGTATGAAAGATGAGAGAAATTAACCACATGGATGAATATAGAAAGTGAAAACAGAATTAAACATGCAAAAGCAAGGCCCATAGGGGTTTAGGACCCTGCAAGTAATTGGCATATCTGGATTGTGGGTGGCACAGGGGCGGGAATAAATGATTTGGGAGCAGTTGTAAGGGACCACAGGTTTGAGACCAGCTTGAATTTACGAAGAGACCCATGCTGTCCGGAATGGAGGGAATATCTATTGGGCCCTAGGAGGGAGAGACAGTCTGGGGAGGAAGTGCCCACTCACCACTTGATTTGTTTAAATAGAAGGGGATCCTCCCCACCCACAATAAGGAATTTAGCAGAAAGAAGTCTGTCCACTGTAAAAGGGACATCGTCTAGAACTTTCATCATTACAATTTCGACTGAAGATCTGAGATCTGAAACTATGAAAATCACCTTGTCATCTTGCCTATAAGGATAAAATCCCATGGCTATGAAAATCCAGGCAGCTGGCTGAATTCTTGGATTTTATTGGAATCTCATGGAATTGCACAGTGCTTGAAATACACGGAGCAGTGACTGGGTGGCTTTTACTGGAAAAATGTGTTTTGATACATTTGTATTTAGATTGTGAGGACTAAACATTGCTCCACAATCACTTCACAGTTTGCATATCCTTGAAGAAGTTCAGTGATTAAAATGAGTATCAGTTCTTGTTCCCCACAAAATCATAAATCAATCCCAAGCAAGTGTGTGAGAGCCACAAGCAAGGCTGCTTATGACTGATTTCCTAAGTGTGTGGGAGACAGAGGATGGGGGATGCAGCTGTTGAGGGCAGAGACCATGTCTCCCTTATTTCTCCATTCCCACCTGACACGCACACAGCACCTGCACCGCCTGGGCGCTCAACAGCTCAATGCTAAATGAATGAATAAACAGCAGGCTTCAGTCCAGTTATTTGAACCAATCGATTGAGCACAAGTTATTGCCAAGGTCTGAAAGAGTTGCTACGAGAAAATGATCCTACAATTTGAAGGGTAGTAATTCCCAAGGCCTAACCCAGCTCGTCCCAGCCTAGACAGTTACTATGAAGAGCGAGGAACCATCTAAGTGCTTAATCATTAAGACAGCTGGGAGCAGATGTAGATGCTCCTCCCATGGTTTGCCCACAAGCACTGACACCAGGAGTGAAAAGTGCGACACGACAGTAAACAAGAGAGGATGATGAATGGAAACGTATTAAAATGGGGAAGGAGATGAACATGGAAGAGGCTCTGGCAGTGTCATCAGTTTGATGGCCTCTGAGCTATCTATTAATGAACTGGTGGGGGAAGCAAAAGCCTCATTGATTCTCTTTACAGAATGAAATTGAAAGTTGTTCCAGGCACAAACCAACAATAACGTGGACCAGGAAATCCAAGAAAGCCATCAGGGGTTGCCAGGGACACTGACCTGTTTTCAGAAAGGTCCACTGGAACCCAGTCACTCCCATCTATTTACATATTGTTTATGGTTGCTTTCCTGTTACACAGGCAGAATTGGGTAGAGTAGTTGGGATGGGACCATATGGCCCACAAGCCTAAATTATTTACTATCTGGTCCTAAACCCTTTGGACTGAATCTATGACATCCACTGGGCTGAATTGTGTTTGGGTTTATATCTTCTAACAATCAGGATTCCACGGCCAAGTGAAGCAGGTAGCTACATCATTCTGTTTTCAAATATGTGGATCTATTATGAAAATACAGTATTTTACGTTAGAGGCCACACTAATTTTGAGATGCTTAACATCAATGGTGATGGTATCCACTCTTGTATCGAGCTTAGAAGTTTCCAGTGTTGAAATGTCTATAGCTCGGGTCCTATGACTCCTGAGTTGTGACCTATGTGGTCATGGGTAAGTCATTTAACCTTTCTATGACTTAGTTCCATCTTCTATAAATTGGTTATATCTGTTTTTAAGTACATTTCTTTTATCCTTTTAAGAATCAAAGCTAATATATCCGTGTGTATCTGGCACGTAATAGGTACTTAATACATGATGAGTTATTATCATTGCTTTGAAATGCCCTTATGGGCTAGTATCTTTTTCTTTATTCATATAAGAAATGGTCAAGCCAATGTAATGGATTTTATAGTTAAGCACTTTGCAAGTGAAGGAGAGTTCTACAGTAATATATTTACCAAATGGTAACCAGTTCTTTGGCAGAATCTACTTTGTTCCCATGGAAAGTATTCTATCCTTAGGAGTGGGGACGATAATACGCCTCACTGAGGTGCGAAAGTTCCCTCGGTCAGAGTGCTGCTCTTATGTGTGTCTGTTAATTATTAATATAAACTACTAGAGGCAGACAGAGACGGGGCCTAAAATGGGAGAACGAGCTTCCTTCATAGCCTAAGTTAAAGTTAATTACAGTTTTTCAAGGGAGGAGGCTCAGGTGTAGAGCAAAGGCAGTAGGGGGGAGGCTGGGCTATTTTGGGAGGAAGGACCTAAAGCCACAGGCCTGAGCCCCAGGGCTCCAGGCCCTTGACCCCCACCTCAGCTGTCCAGAAGTCAAAGAAGTGACTTTCTGGGACAAGGAAGGTCAAATGGTCTCCAGCACATTCTGCCCCTTCCCAGCACCAGCCCTACTGTGGGGAAAATGGCCTGGCCTTTATTTCTAACTGTGTGGTCTGGGCAAGGTTTTTTTTTTTTTTTTACTTCTTTGTTCTCCTGTTTTAAAAACTTCTTTACCCATAGCAATGATACCAACATGTACCACCATAGAATGTGAGGAAAAAGTAGATAACGTTTATCAAGCCCCTGGCACATAGTAGGTGCATATAGGGATAATTTAGTGTTATTTTTCTGAGATGAGCTGTTACGTCAACAGGACTAAAAGTCCATGTGTGGGGGAATGATCTGGGTAGACCCTTGCTGATGACACTGACATCACACCATGTCCTGGCCACATATGGTACTCTGTGGAACCGTTGGTCAGCTTTGGTGACAAAATGAAATGATGTGGTCAATTGGTCCAAACATACTGGTCCAAAACATGTTGGAAAGCCAACATTTACTTTCTTAGCAGACAAAAAATAAGCAAATAAGGGCCCCAAATCCAAAGTGGGTTGACCACAAGGGGTGCTTATAGATCAAATTAGGTCCAATTCACTGAATTGTCTGAGTCAACTCTTTACAAAATCTTGCATTCCCTAAGTAGAACAGAGCACTGCTTAACCCTCCACCTAGCTTGCAAGTTTGGCAGTAATGGCTGAAGGGCACACCTCCTCACAGACTAGACCGGCTATCTATCTGGACCTTTACTTTGAGGGAGGTAAATTGCTACCATCTACAAATGTGAAAACTGTGACCTCGAGTGGTTAAATAATTTGACTGTAGCTGCATGGCTGGTTAGCCACAGAGGGCATGGAAGCTGAGGCTCTGCTCCCAGAGCGGCTGGGCCCCCCTGCTGAACACAGCCTTCCTGTTGCACAGCTTAAGGTCTCTGTCCTTGATCCCCTTCTTATTTCCACTGACCTGCTGGATGACCTTGCCCAGCCTCAGAGCTTTCATACCTTCCATATACTGACAACCCAAAGATGGACATCTTCACCACGTCCATGTGTATTCCAGTTGTGTACTTCTTGCAGCCTACCTCCCATCTCTGCTTGGCCATATTACAGTCCTTTCAGACAGAGAGCTGAACTTCTGTTCCTTCCCTCACCTCAAATATGTTCTAACCATGGTGATTTCCTTTTGAGTCAGTGGTGGCTACATTGTTCTAATCATGTTTAGGCCAAAACCTTCCCACGCTTGGAATCCAACTCGTTGGAAATCCTTTTGGCTCTGCCTTAAGTTTATATATTTGAAAATCAACTACATTTCAGTGGCCCTCTGCTTCCACCCTGGTTTAATCCACTGTCATCCTATTGATGATTATAGAACTAGCAGACCTATATTCGATGGAGCAGCCTGTATAACCTGTTCAAAATGTTAAGTCAGATCTCATCCCTCCTCTGCTCCTAAACCTACTGTGGTCCTATTTCACTCCATAGAAAAGCTCCTGTCCTTAAGGTCCTTAAGGTCCAGGTCCTTAATGATGACCTCCCCTGTGAACTTCTCTTGCCTTCTATTGTGTGCAACACTCGTCATGTTGGTTTCCTTCCTGCTCCTGGAGCCACCAGTCACGACCCTGCATCAGGACCTTCGCACAGGCTATTGCCCCTTCCTCCCTTACCTTCTTAAGCTCTTTACTCAGATCTGACCTTCTCCAGGAAGCCTCCCACTACCCTATATCAATATTTAACTCTGAAACCTGCTCCGCTCACAAGCCTGACTCTCCCGAGCACGTTTACTCGGCTCTGTTTATTCCTTTTTCCTTTACACTGTTCATTTTCTAACATAGTATGAGATTTCCTTATTTATCTTCTTTATTATTTATTGTTTTTCTTCCTCCGTTGGAAAGCAAGCCCCACGAGGGCAAGAAATTTTGTCTGTTTTATCACTAATATATCCTAGAATGGTACCAAATATCAGACAACAAAAACTTGCTGAATAAATTAAAATGGCATTTTTACAAAAAATGTGAATGTGGTGGGTTACTACAGAAAGTACTGCGTTTTCCCAGGATTTTTGCAAATGCCGCAACTCACTATGATGGGAGGGATGTGCTACCTCCCTGGCAGACGGGCTAGGTACCAACGCCACAACATAGCATTTCCCTTTTCTTGGCAGCACCTGCCTTGCTATAGCCCCCAGCAACAGCTGCTAAAGAGCAGTCAAGGAAAATAGTACGTAAATTTCTATTATTTTTTATCTCCTCCTTAAAATTTTCCATTTACATGTTTTAACTTCCACAAATATATTAGTGCAATAATATATGTGTATAATTTCTTAATAAACAAACTTATTTTTGAGGTACCTGGTCAAAAACTTTGAAAAAGGACAGATCTACAAAACCACTAAGTCTTCTGAAAATTCAAGGACACCTGGAAGTTTCGTGGCATCCGCATTAGTATAGGAAACACACGACTAAAAGAACAGGGCTGGTCCTGCACCTATTGGCTAGAATTATCCAGACAGCAGGTTGATGCATTGGAAGCTTCTCTCTCCTGAGTCAATAGAGAAAGTGCTTAGGCTTTGGAGGCTGTTTCCAGGACAGTCCCTCCAGGGACCCTCTGGCTTCCATCCCCAGATTTCGCCCTCCTCAAGATTCTCTCCAGCCTGTCTCCTTGTACCCTTCACTAGCAGCCACCCATGGAACAGCTTGCAGGCAGAGACGGCTCACCTTCTCATAGTACCGAATCTCATAGTCCAGGATGATGCCATTGGGCTGCTCTGGCTGTGGCCATGACAAGGTGATGCTCCTCATGGTGGCGCTGACCTGGTGCATGATGGGAACAGTGGAGGGGGCTGGAGAGAGAAGAAGAGACAGTGCGGTTGAGCTGACACAAAGGAGAAGTGCCACCTTTCAGAGATAAGTAGGGAGAGAAGTGTCATTGGGTTTCTTTCTCCTCAGCTGAACTGGACCTGCAGAACTTCTTGTGACTTTTGCAGAATGAATGGAGTTGATAATTTAGGAGAGGAGAACATGGATGGGCAGGGACTGGAATGGATTTGGTATTTTTATGGGCAGGGAGGACAAAGGCTTGGTCAAAACAAGAGATGGTTGGAGGAATCAGGGGAAAGGACAGAAGGCAAAGAGGAAACATGGAATGTTTCTGAGCAGAAGGTGTTGAAGGAACTTCAGTCTCGCAGTGGGCAGCTGAGCTATTGCAGAGAAGAGAACTATGGGCAAAAAAATTATAATAAAAGGGTAGAACTGGTCCATATGGAATTACTATGCAATAGAAAGGAACATTCCAGCAAACATCTCTTTCTGGCATAACATGTAAGATTTTACCATACTTCAAAAGGAAAAGAAAAGACCTCTCTTAAGAAGCCATGAACAGAGACCAACAACAGAGGTATTGTCAGAGTTTTCCAAATGAAGACATTTGTCATAAGGGGTTCACAGATACAAGTGTAGAAATTATACAGAAGCCAAACACTTGGAAATAGGAAATAACTCCAAAATGTGTAACGTTGATTCAGAAATCTCCGTTTAGAAATAGTTTATTTCCCAATTCACCATTTTTTTACACAGTGTAAGTAAAATGAAAGCAGTCTGGAAATAATAAATGAGGCTGTCTTTCTAGGGGCAGAGGCAGGTAATGGATGAGGCTTCAGTCTGCACTCTGCTCGGGGGCTGTTCCGTTTAGTCCCGGCACTTCTGCAGTGATGAAGGTCGTTTCTTCACTTGAACTTCACTTTACAAGGCTTTCTCTGGGGACTGTGGCTGAGTGACATTTACTATCCTCAATTTACACTAAAGATTTCCCCCCAAGACCTGGAATTAATGAGCACTGCTATTGGGGTGATGCTGCCTTCTCCACCATTTGGCGGACTCTCAGTGAGCACCTATTATGTGAGGCCCTGGGAAGAAGAAGCAGAGCCTCTGTTCTGAAGATGCTCCCAGTCCAGGGAGCCATAAAGAGTGAGGAGTGTTGTGCTCAGCCCTTAGAGCCAGCGTGTCCCCTGGGACTCTGAAGGCTGGTTTGCAGTTCCCATTAGAGGCCCAGTGGTGGTGGTGAAAATGCACCGTTCAGAGTGCCTGCTCCTTGGAGAGTACTTGGTGAATGGCCCCATTGCTGTGCTCTAGAATCCATCACCACATTCACACAGAGGTCCTACTTCCCACATGCTGCTTCCTGCCAGTGACCGAGAGTAGCAGAGATGCCACTGCAGATCCATTCCTGAAAGATCACAGGACTCTTCTGATGGGCACCTTTTGCTCAAAGACTCCCCACTAGCCTTGCCAACATTTCATTATAATCTCACAGCAGTGTAAGATTCTTCCTTCCCTGTCCTCCTTCCTTCCCTCTCTCCTCAGGGTTCAGACCTGCCCTGTGGTCCATTGGCTCTCCCAGCCTCTGCTGGCTCACATCCTACTTCCTCAATAGACCTCTTGCACATAAAATCCCATCTGGGCATCTGCTCCATGGAGTATTTGAATTAATGTGGTTCTGAGTCCCTCTACAATCCCTGTGGAATATTTGCTGCCAAGATCATGCTGTGGCCCCAGGCAGGGAGATTCCCTGCCTCCAGGAGCTGCTGCTCCATACCTGAACAGCTCTCACCAACTTACATATTGTCCATCCTTACCTAAAATTTGTCTTCTTCCCACTGGTCTCGGTTCTGCCAAATGAAGTAAGATAGGATGCTCTCTCTTCCAAAGAATGGCTTGTCAAATATCTAAAGAAACTAGTTTGATCTTCCTGGGGTTATTCCTACTGAAAAGAATGGTCAGATGCTACCAATATTTCCCCCTCAGCTGTGTTGCAAACAGAAAGGAGGGGCCATGAAGAAGGAGAAAAACCTATCACATCACTGTTGCAATAATCCAGCTGCTGACGGTGGTTGCTGGGACCATATTTGAGCAGTGGAGGTGGTCAGATTCTATATATGTATTGAATATCTTCATACATGTGGGATGTGGAAGAAAGAGGGAAATCAAAATTACTCCAAGGTTTGTAGCCTCAACAACTGGAAGAATGGGCTGTCATCAACTGAGATCAGGGAGACGTTAGTGGAAAGCAGCTTGGGGGAAAGACCAGAAGCTGAAATTTGGACCTGTTAGGTTGGAGATGGGCAAGATTCCCAGAGAAGATGTTGAGCATCCAATGGATGTGTATGGTCCAGACTGGAGATATAAATTTGAAGCCATCAGTATTTTGAAGATTTTAAAAGCATAGGAACTGCCAGGAATCACCAAGAGAATGAGTAGAATCGAAAAAGATATTCTAAGACTCAGGAAATGAGAAAAAAAGAGCAAATAGGCCTGAGAAAGGAAGGCCAATGAGGTAGAAGAAGAACCAGGACAGTGTGATTGCCTAGAAACCAAGTGGAAATAAGTGTTCCCAGGAGGACAGAATATGTTAAATGCTGCTGCTTAGTCAGGTACAATGAAACTAAAAACCAAGCCCAGCCTTAGCAGCATGCTGGATGGTTAACAACGCTCATGGCACATGATTGCCTTTCCAGGACCTTGTGTGCATAGGACAGAGCCATGGGGGAGGATAAAGGCGGCTCATGGAAGGTGAGGTAGTGTTCCAGAATCCCAGTGGGTCCACCTAGGCAGGGGCAAATGCCCGGCTCCCAGTAACCCTCTTTCCTCCGAGGGTCCTGGAGACCTCTGTGGAGGCAAAATGTACATGTTGTTAATCATGTCAGTGCCGTGCAGGTTTCCAGAATCCCTCTGTCCTGAGAGCCAAGGCATCGTGTTTTAAAAAGTGGAAAGATCAATGCTAGCAGCTCAAGATTTTGGTGGCCTTGGTTCTTCTCCTAGCCTCTAATCCCTGGGAAGCCATCGTTAAAAATGCAATGCAATTGCCAGCCACCAAGCCAGGTCTATTCTAATCACTGGGGACAGAAGGACAAAGAGGAAAGTCACAGCCCTGCCTTTAAGGTCCTTGGAGTCCAGTTGGGGTCAGATCGTAAAGAGGCAATCACAGGGTAGGGTGATCCAGAGGTAATCGATAGCTAAAATCCATCGAGAGGAATGCCTGCATTACTGCAAGTGGCATAGACTGCCTCAGCCTCCAGGTAGCAGGGCACAGATCCAGGAGGAGCTTCCAGAAGGTAACAGCCATCTCTACCTGCATTTCTCAGCTTTATGGCAATGCCATGATGGTCACAGGGCCTGTGGAAGACTGTGTGTCCTCATACAGGTCACTCTAAATGTCTTACATCACATTGTAATGGGATTTAGCACATGGGAGAAAGCAAGGAAGCATTTTTGCTCCTCCCTGAAAATCAAGGGCAGCCCATGTTAGGTGCTCTGCCATTGGCAATCAATTACAGTGATAAATTTTCTACCCCTCCTAAGGGCAAATGCTACCTCTAGCTTTGTTATTTTAGGTGCTATAAACCTTTAGACAAAACAGAAAATAATAAAAATGAGCTCTGATATTCACCCAAACACAAACTTCTAGCAAAACTAAGGCAGATTACAGAGATATGGGAAGATTAATTCAAAGAAGTAGCCTCATGTCCTCCCAAAACAATGGTTTTGATAGTGAGTCCTGGCCAGTTGTCTTTTCTCCATAATCATCAGATAAAGGATAGTTTCACTGAACACTTGAAAGCATCTCTCTTGCAAGCGCACACAAAGCTTTTGACTAAATTAAACATTCTACTGAAAGAAGGAAATGAAAATAAAGAGTTCACAAGCTTATTTGAACTTAGCAAAGGAACAAATAGGGACCTTTCTTTGGTTTCTTAAGAAGAAAGAATTAATTTAGGAGCTATGTGGAAAGAGTGCTAAAGGCTCTACAAAGATATGTTTGCCTAAAGAGATGGTGTCCAGTAAACCAAACAGAATTAACATTACCCTGCATCCCTTCTTAGCAAAGAGGCTGATCCAACACAAAGTTGGGATCCAGAGAGGAGAGCAGGGAGCAAAGAAGGGTGTTCCTCAGGCCCCAGTCAGGGTTCAAACAGAATGAGAACCAAGACTGACTGAGAAGAGTATCTACAGCCAATACTAAGAGGCCTTTTATACAAGTGTAAAGAGACTTAAAATTTTACTGATCCGGGGGCTCAGGAATGGAGAATAAAACAAAGGCAGCCTGAGTACGTCCTTTGTCTCTGTTTTTCAGTGAAGACGTTGGGGAGAACTTACTCCCAAATTGCTTTTGAAGCAGACAGATCCAAAGTAGTATGTCACACACAGCAGACAAGCACAGAATGTTCTCGCCTAAACTGACAAACGAGACGTGGATAAACTGCAGGGATAGGATGGCCTCCACTGCAAGGTGCAAGAGAACTCACAGATGACATGGGACAAGTGTTGGCCCCAACTGGTCACTGGCCTCTGGTCACTGCCAGAGGCATCGAAGATGGGGCCTGGCAGACCCCCTGACAGCCATCCATTTGTAAGAAGGGCTCTGATGGGACCCGTGGAACCTACAATCCTATGAGGCTTAGGTTGGGTCTGGGATGGTGGCATAAATATATCTCAAAAGTTAATAACTCCAAATCTAGCCCTGGAGCTCTGACATGTGGAAGCCTCACAGTCATATCCCAGGTCCACCTAGATCATACATTTTGTGTTCCTGGCATTCCTTGGCCCCTTCACTTAGTTACTGACTCAGTCATGTTCAAGTATTTCCTCTTACTCATTTCATTTTTCTTATTTAAAATCCCCGAATTCCAAAAATGTGAGAATAAGCTGATGCTTTTCTCTAGGACAATTACTAAGTTCTAATGCTTCCTGTTGCTTATCAGACATGACTTCATAATCTCTTGATGGACTTTTGTGCCAAAATAATTCTTTCAACAGTTTTAACCATGATCTATTTTGGCACCTAACT